GTACAATCTGACAATAATCAGTAGATGAACTGCGATCTATATAATTTGATAAGATACATCAATTTGAAACCACGGATAACTCATCCGAAAAATTAGCAAAATTCGGATGATTTAGTCGACTGTCCAATAAATATCATTCTTGCTTCACATTATATATATCAATTTATATATCAATTGTTGAGATGATTAAATAAATTTTTGGTATATCAAGAAGCATAGTATACTATCGGTTTAGTCCAGATTTCAACTAAGGAAAACGCTTGGTTCTAGGGTACGTACGTATACTGTATACCTGATACGTAGAAGGTAATTTATTAATTTATTATCTGTTATTGAACGAACGTTTTTAACGCATCAAGTAATTAGTTATTCCACTAAAAAAATAGGCTAAAAATAGCCAGAAGGATTAACATACTCAACATCTATAATTGTGGGAGTATTATGTCTTACAGCGCTAAAATTGCTTAATTAACTTTTGGACTATCGTTATAGAAAATTTACATATATATAAATGTTTATACTAATTCACCTAAATTTGTAAAGTCAAAAATAAACACATCAAAAGAAATGTTTTGCATGCAATGATACACAATTACGAATTTAGCAGGTATATTATAGTATCGGATATGTAAATTTTCTTTATTGAATCTTGTATTCGGTTAATATTTAGGCATTATTGGCTCAATCATTCAGTGTACTAATGTAATGTAACTGATGGGATTATTTATTATAAACATACATACGTAACATACATACGTACGTGTACGTACAATATTTGAGTATGTACTGTTGTGCAGTATTTCAATTTAGTACAAAAAAAAGCAAAAATTCCGATTTGTAAAAAACTTAATTTCAAAATTAAAAATAATTTTCGTGAAAATAATGATAATAATGTAATATCATTATTAATATTGCAATAAAGAGCATAAAGCATCGGTTCTAAGCGTTACAACTTGCGTGAGTAACTATCATTATGTAATAAAATTTTATTTTAGTCATCACAATGATAATTAATTGATAAATATATTTCAAGGAATTAATTGTTACGTAGAATTTAAAGGTCTTTCTGAAAAATAATTGAGAATGCATAAGTAGAAAAACTTGATACAAAATGGAGGATACAGGACGTAATTTGGATAAGGAGAGGTTACACTGAGTGGTGATACACAATGATTAATATTTTATTACAACGCCAAATGCGATATCACCTAAAACAACATATTTATTTATATAAATATGAAAGAAAAAGGTTATATCGAATCTTTGCTATATAAACTTAATTACTACGATGATTCCATAGTTATAATGTTAATCTTAACATTTTTGACTAGCTAATCGTCTTCTGAATTGGTTATACAACTTCATGTATATGTATATATGATCAGTGAAGGTAAAAAAATTATTATTGTACTGTAGTATGCTGGGATAGAAACTTGATAGATTTTCAAATGTTGGCCATTTTCTCGAAAAAAAAAGAAACCATAATATATATAGACTAAACCGATCAGTATTATAGTTAATGCCGGTCAAATTATGTCCATTCGAGAAACATACTTTCGAAAACTTGATTATGATTTGAAAAATTAATGAGAACATCTTTTATTTATGCCAAGATTTTAATACACATTCAGTACGTAGTTAGTACGTAGTCAGTACATAGTCAGTACATAGTCAGTACATAGTCAGTACATAGTCAGTACATAGTCAGTACATAGTCAGTACATAGTCAGTACGTAGTCAGTACGTAGTGACAATTTGCTTAGCCAAACCAATTTAACGTTAATTGGTCATTTATTGACCAAAAATGGCCAAAGATCAGTCATATTAATGTTTTTTTTCCAATGGCCAATTAAATCCCAATTGAATGCCAATTAAATGCCAATTAAATATTTAAATTTATTTTAATTGATTGGATCGAAAAAAATTGACATCACTGCATATAGTCAATTACTTTTGTGAAATATTAACTTGTAAACACGAAATTTAATATGTTAAATAACAAATGGCCTAACAAGTTTACTTGCTTAAAATCTACAACAATTTTATTTAACCAATGAGGCTCACTTGTGACGATTAAATGTTTCGGAATTAGAATTCTCATTGTAATCATTTTCAGGTTTTTTCTTATAAAACGAAACCTAGCCTCCTATTGCTAATACCTGATTATAAAAAAAATCATGTTCGCTTTGTTTACGTCCATATAAAGGTTTGAAGAAAATGGTAATCTTTTTTATTTTTCTTTTTTTACATTTTCAGGTCATCGCTGGCGCAGTATAACAATACAATATCCATATGTAATGTAGGTTACGTAGATCCAATTACGTATTAGTTACGATATGTGATACATATAATGTGGGATCCCTGAAATCGAATTTATCGAGGCGGATTTATGCATTGAAATAAGTACTTGTATTACAATCGGAAAAAGATATAAAATTATGTCGCCATAATATTACGTAATCAATGCTAAGATATATTTTGTAACCAATAATTGTTTCAAACTAGTGGTGTGATGTGAAATTTCAAGTCTGAATTATAACCACAATGGCTGATTGATTCAGAAGACGCGCATTTTTTTACCTTCATTGCTTCCGCATGCATACAATTACGATAAGTTTTAAAGAATTTAACCTTCTCTTGCAAATACTGGCACGTGGATTTTAAGATTGGATAGAAAAAAGTCTGATAAAAATAAATTAAATTAAATTTATTAAAGGTAACACTAAATCGGACATGATTTCTAATTATATTATTAAATGTATCTATATCGATTAAGTATAAATTTGTAAAGAAAGAATTTCATACCATAGATGAATTAATAAAGGCCCCGAACTCGCTTGAATAAAGTTTACGTAATATCCAAGTTCATATAAAGTTCCACCACCAAACCTGATAGGTACAATTTAAATCAAAGAAATTCGGTCAAAAAGATTACCCGTAAACTTTTGGGGTAAGTTAAAGCTTAATATTTGCATGATTTTCACAAACTTGGTGAAATTATCTTGATAATAAGTATTTGCATACGGTCAATCATAATAATTAATTAGTCAAAAGGCAAAGACAATCAATGAGGAAGTGTAAAATGAGTCTAGCTGTATATAATCAAATGAAACTTTATTATGATATGTATATATACATACATATACAGGAGGGGGGGGGGGACAAAAAATTTGCAACACTATGTTTTTAATAAACGCGGTGCAAATCACGATAATTTATTATGCTCAATGCTGTGATACCGGAGAGACACAAATTAACTAGGTTAACTAGATTAACTAACGATAAGGTTATTCTCCACAATGTTATATCTACATAATATTCTTTGGAACTAGAAATTGAAAGTTATATATACTATGAATGTTATATATATTATAGATAATATAGATATTATAAGTACTATAGATATTATAGATACTATAAATACTATAGATACTATAGATATTATAGATACTATAGATATTATATTATAGATACTAGATATACTATAGATACTATAGATATTATATTATAGATACTATAGATATTATATTATAGATACTATATATACTATATATACTATATATAATATAGATACTATATATGCTATAGCTACTATAGATTATTATAGATGCAATAGATAATATACATATATTCTTATACAAATGGATTAAATCTTATTTATATAGTAATTGCATGCGAAACATGCAATTACTGTAACATTTTATGAGTTATCCTGATTGTTTTGTAACCTAACCGGTACGGTTGGGTTACCGACAATCAGAAAGAATATTAATTATTACTTACGTAGTACGCAATAATTGTTTAACTATCTGCTATGATAATTTTATAATACAGAAATACTATAAATATTGATTTGTAAAATTTGTTAAATTAATCTTAGTAAGATAATAAAGCATTGGATAAATAAAATATACCCAATTAATTGTTCATCTTATAGCATATATTCTAAAGTTTTATTGATCACACAAGTTTACATATATTTAGATACGTTAATATAACGTTAATATAACGTTAATATAACGTTAATATAAATAAAGATTCATAAAGCATATAAACAATAATAAATCCTTTATTTTGTTATTTTTTTATTTATTTAGTTTCTCTCAATATTTTATCGATATTTTATCAATATTTTATCGATATTTTATCGATATTTTATCTCCCCGATATACACCAACATTTGTTTATTAAGCATACAGTAACACAACTAAAATTTAATGATATAAGACGGCAGGTAAAATATGCTATAGTATAAACAAACCACTTTATTTGCTGTAAATACTTTGTTAGGATGAATTTTAGCGCGAAACTTGGCTGACCTGACTCATCCGTAAATTTAAAGATTTGCATCTACGTATCACAGTTCATACCCGTCTGATGAATAACCAATTAACGATCATTACACAACATCAATGTTAATGTTTGTTTACAGGGCTTATAGAAAATCATGATAATTAACAGCATTACTGAATCCTACATTACTATTAAGGTATTTCATTCTACCAAACCAAGTTCACTCGATTCCCAGTGTGACACAATAATAATACAACTTTAGCATAAATAAGCATTAGTCCCTGAATTTATCCATCACGGTGTTAAACTTTCTATTTGTTCACCGTAAAATCTTTTCTTCTTCTTTTTCCTACTTCTTATTTATTTATTTCTTTTTTCTTAATCTTTATTTCATCTTATTAATTTTTCTTCTTATTAATTAAGAATGCAATCCACCACTCTCCCACCATTTAAATCTCTTTTCTCATCTTCAGGTTCTTTCCCATTCCCTACCAATCTAAATCACTCATTAACTCATCCTTCAAAAACTGTTGATAACTGCTTTCATGCTAAAAATAAATTGATAAATACTGGTAATATTTTCCTTGCAAAATTTCTTTCAATTGCTAATTAAATGTCTTATTCTTATTTGATAGCTTCTTATAAATTTTCTTTCTTTTAATGATACTTTCATTCTTTTAATGATATTTGGGTTTATAGAACAAGATATGACACAATATATTCCTCCACTTCAACAGTTACCTAAAGAACAATCTTGTCTTAACTCCTGTTGCCGTTCTGCAAATGAAGATGTTAGATCATCAATTAATTTATATGATAAATCATCAATTTATAATAATTTTCAATCTTCTCAACAATGTTACTCACTTGTTCGACCTGCTCCAATCCGACCTTATGATGACAAATTTTTTACTATGGGACATTCTATTCCGCATTCTAATCCTTCATTATTTAACAATATGACTTCTCAAAAATATCTTTATCATGGAGGTTTCAATGCTAAACCTTCAACTAAAGAAGAAAATCGTTATCAATGCCCTTATTGTATAAAAAGATTTTCTCGTCCTAGTTCTCTTAAGATTCATATTAATTCGCATACCGGTGAAAAACCATTTGTTTGCACAGAACCGGGTTGTGGTCGAAGGTTTTCGGTCCACAGTAATATGCGTAGACATTTAAGAGTTCATAGAATAGGAAAACCTATTAAGAAAGCTTATAATGATCGCGATAATAAGGGTTACAATATTTGGAATCCGACTCCGATTGTTCATGGTGATTATCCGTAGTATTTATTTTATTAGCATTTAAATTGGTCGAATATATATGCATCTTTGTAAATGATTTTTGGTTCTGATTCTTTTGTTCTCTTCTTTTAGATTAACGATTAATATTATAATTACTAATTTGTGTTTGAAAAAAAAAAAACTTATTTTCTTTTATTATATTTTGTATATAATTTGTTCTTTTTTTTTATTTTTTACAGGTTGAATCCTTTAATTAGATTTTATTAAATACAGGAATTATTAAGAATATGATAGGTAATAACAACTTTTTTAATATGTATTTTTCTTTTTTTTTTTGTCTTTTAGGATTTTGGTTATTAATATAGATTGTATACAGCATTTGCGTAAAATATATGACATATATATGTTAATTAAATAAGGGGTTGATAATTACTATTTTTTTTCTCTAGACAACATCTTTTGGACAATTGTATTAATGTTTTATCTTTAGATATATATATATATCTTTTGAACAAATTGAAATGTAATATCAATAAATGGATAATAATGATATAAAAAAAGTATCATCTTAATATCTTTATATCAGAACCTTTCTTTAGTGAATTCAATTCAAGAAACTTGATGAAATTTAAAGTTTAGAAAACTTTAAACAAATTTAAAGAAACTTGAGAAATTTGAGAAATTTAAAGTTTAGGATACTTTAAAAGAATGTTAAGAAGAATTTTAAGAAGAACTTTAAGAAGAAATTTAAAGAATAATGGTTGTTTTTAATAAAGCCAAAAAGAGTATATGTCATATCATATCATGTGACGAATAGATTTTTTTGTCCAGAAACTGTGTACTAGAAAACTTTTCAACTGAATAAGATTAAAGTTAACTCATATGTTACAAATAGTTATAATAATTATAATATTAAAATAATTACTTTAATGCGACTATCTCTTCTATTTTAATAAACGTTATCTTGTAAACTTCAAGATGGTAATGATGTTTTTTGAAACGATGTAATACTTTCTCTCGAAAAAGAATCATCCTTTTTTTTCTATAAATTAATACTATTTTCATAATTCACATGCTTTAATCTTTTCCATCTACTTTTATAACCTATAAATGCTTAATAAATTTCACATACGGACCTGCCCGCGAAGAGATCATCTTTCCTTGATTAGGTAATCAGGCGTAATTTATCGTTATTCTGCATGAGACTAAATTGCATGATTGTGCTTGCCTTAGATCGAATCATTACACTTGTGTAAATACTTTTAAAGTATTCGTGTAAGGACATAATTTCTGCGGAGAATAAAGCACGTTACCTAAATCTTAAAAAAATTTGCAAATCATTATCTTAGATTCAAAGTGCTTTGAAAAATACATTATGGCTGAATGTGGCATATTATTACTAATAAAAGATTGGTTGATATGTTAAATGTTTTGATAATCAAGTTTACTGATGTAAATCAAGGGAAAGTTAGAAACCATCGTACGAGTGCAATAAAAAAAAAAAAGTTGAGACTTTAAAAAAAGCCATGTGTTCATGTGCAACATGTGTAGGACATTATTATTTTCAAAGTGCATGCTGAAAACAAAGTTTTCAGTAATCTCAGTCATTTTTCTATGCATGTTACATTCAGTGTCTAATAATAATGGATTCCCAACATGACTATAAATAATCCTTCGGAGTTTAAAATCTCCCGAATTCAATACACTTCCCAATATTCGGTGTGTCCGAAAATTCTCGTATTTTGTTTTTTTTTATTTAATAATAAGTTTAACTTCTAATGGATAAGACGTATCACAAATTGTTTGTTCTAACGCCGTTTGCATCTCTACAAACCTCTAATAGATTATTGGAACTCTTGATCGAATATTCCTTTTACTAAATTTGATCATGAACGGCATTAACTTAAATTATTTCATGTTTAGAATCCTGTTAAACACCAATAATGATATTTTGTCATTCCTTCATCCATTACGCAAATTATTCTAGTCTTATTATCCGAAATTGAAATGTATGTTACCCAGCGATTTCTTGTCAAACATTAATCAACGCGATCTTTTTTAAATTTTAAAATGATTATTAATTCAATAAAAAAAACTTTCGTGATTGCAACAACGTATGGGAATTATTAACGATTTATTTTCAGTTCATCGTTGTGATACCATTGATGTCTATCACCATCACGTGGATTAGTGAATCGTCGATATATTACGTCATTCGCGTAATGTCGCGTGATATCGATTTTTCAAAACACATTTTCTTTTTACGGACTTTCGTAAGTGTGTCTTACAAGAGAATCTTACAAGAGAAATCGTGTGCAAGCATTATATTGATACTACTATAGATGAATGCAGCCTAGAGATGGCAAGTAAGAATACCCTAATACTTGATTTATTACTTATAACAAATGATTTTTATATTATGATTTATATAAATGCAATCTGGTGAATATATTTTAAATTCAATAATCCATCGATCAGATTACACTTTGATATATCGAAATTCTTGCTTATTATTATTACGTAACAAATTAGAGGAAATAATAATTAATAATAAGTGTTGCCACATCGGGTTTTAAATTTATTGTTTATTTGAATTCTGCATCTAAAATAGGGATGTTATATGGTCCGGTCTTAGACTAATAGACCACGGTTAGTCTTAAGACCGGTCTAAACTCGAAAAAATTGGTCTGCTCTAAGTCTTAAGACCGGACCAGTCTGGACCGATCTGGATTAACAAAGTCTTAAGAATGAAGACCAAACAAAGTCTTAAGAATGAAGACCAAACAAAGTCTTAAGAATGAAGACCATAATAGACCAGACCTGACCTGGACCAAAATAGACTAGACTGGACTGTTAACATCCCTACTCTAAAAGTTTTAATCAGCGGCATATGGTACGTAATCAAGTGAATTTATTAAATTTATTAAATTTAAAGTTAAACTTGAATTTTGATTTTCCCATGGCAGCGCCTATATTCGTGATTTCAAAAGTAGTGATATTTAGAAATTAATATATATTTTATTGTTAACTTCGTAAACAACAACATGGGGTCTTTGCTTTGAAACTGATCTTATGAAATATAGTAATTATTATGTCCCATAAGGTCATTTTTCAGGGAAAAAGTCCAACATATATTTACTGAATGCTGGTTTCATCTTTGCCGCACAAAATGTTTAACATTATCTTAAAACCGTAATATGATTATGTATCGTTTCACCGATAAACAATTCACTGACAGTACGATTCACCGACATCGACAAGTAATAGATACTTATTTTTCAGGGCATGTACGCAAATTAGGACAGACCTGCAGAAATCATGATAGTACGTACAGTTTTGTAAAAGAAAAAAATTCGTCAAATCCAAGTTACTTTTACTACCAACCCAATATGAAAAAGGATAATACTAGTGCTCCCCCTAGCCTAACCATAAAAAATGGCTACTTATAAAAATTAAAAATCGTACTGTCGGTGAAATGAGTTTGTCGGTGAAGTACTTGGCGGTGAATCGTACTGTGAATTGATTTTTTCGGTGAATTGTACTGTCGGTGAATTGATTGTCGGTGAAATGAACAGTATCGGATTGTCAGAAAATGTACACAAGTGAAAATATCTTTTATTTGTGTATAACGTTTAGGTGTTACATTGTTATTATTTATAACTCTATGTATAGTGGGGACATTAAAAGAAAATCACTTACCCTCTCTCAGCCTCAATATGGTTCACGTCGTAAGCTTTGGTTGTAGTGACTTTTCCATTGGGTTAAGTTTGGTTCTTCCGGCGATTATGGCTTTGGTAATTATTTCTTCTCGAAAGGTATAGTTGTGGTGTGTTAGTAATGATTCCTAAATAGTTATTTTTTAACAGTTGTGGTTCTCTGGCGGTCTTAGCTTTAATCAAATCTAGGTAGGGATGGGGAAGTTTGATTTAGTTTGTTTTGGTTTAATTGAAATCTAATATATGCAGATCCTGCATCAATCAAATTTAGATTAAACCAAATCAAACTTTCCTATCCCTAAATCTAGGACCCATAAACCTTTGATGTGTTTTTGGTAGTAGTGGTTTTTAGACAGTCATCGCTCTAGCAGTAGTGATATCGTAGTTTTAACAATAATGATACTTTCGATATTGTAACTTTATCAGTAGTGATTTCCTCGACGATTGGAAATATCAATTCCTTTTACAGTCGTTTAGTGCTTCTGCGACTGTCATTTTGATAGTACCGTAATTACTTTTCCAATTCCATAAATTTAATAGTTACTTTCTCATTTGTGGCTCTTCTGGTAGTTATAGCACCCCCAGCCAGATTACTAACCAACTCTTTTTTAATAAATTTTAACATTATTATAAATCGCACCAGTGGTGTTGAACACCATATAAATTTTTATTATAATTTTGTTGTTAATACTTAAATAAAGTTGGAGTATGGTCTTTGGGGAGCCGAACATTTTTGCTTAATACATCCGGCCTTTTGTTATTTAGACAGTTTTTGAGATATAGCAACTGTGATGTTATACACCGTTTAACAATGCCGAATTTTAATATATTATATAATTTAATTATTTTAATATATATTGATGGTTTTGGTAGTTTAAATTTTTAACCCAAAAATAAGTGGGTCCAATTTCTGTTTTAATTTTTATCGTGAGAAAATTTTATCATTAATTTTTAATTGCCAATTTGCCACTTAATAGTACATAAAATGATTGAAAAAAAGTAACATTAATTTCCCCTAAAATCTATAAATTCTAAAAAACATTCTTTCATTTAAATCCTACCTTTTTTTTTCAGATTACTAATATTGGCTTGCATATTTGTATTATGAAATGATTAATGTCGATGATTGATACTGAAATTCGATCATATTTTAACATGAAATTTAAAACTTTTGGGGTGGTTTTTTTAGGGTTTGGTTATAATTTAGGATTAGAGTTTATAATAAAAGAGAATATGTGGAGTTTAATAGGTTTATGTTTCAACTAAAGACCCCAAATTTCAGCATCATACGATTTTAGCATCAACAATTACCGTAAATTGCCGTGT